TGTGCCCGTAGTGTTTCCAGTTTTTTTTATTTGGGGGGGGGGGGGTTGCTGCAGGTGCGGCTGGTGATCTGGAAGTGCAAGGACGTGGTGGCGATGGACTTCGCCAGCGGTCTGAACGACCTCTTCGTCAAGTCGTGGCTGGAGGGATGCGACCCACTGGTAAGCGTGACCCTTTCCTTGTCTGCACGAATTCAGAAATGTATTCGTAGTTTGTTCATGATCATCTTCGTAAAACCCTGACGCTGTGTGTCTTAACCCTAACGCTATGCATATGTGTCTTGTAAAGCCCTGACGACCCTAGTGTCTTAACCCTAGTGTAGCGTAGTGTAGCGTAGCGTAGCTGTACACACCGGCAGCATTTTGACCGGAAGTGTGACGATATGATGAAATCCTTGTGGAAGATGCCGTTGCCCCTGTGTGCACGTGCAGCCTGCACAATACCAGCACTTCAATGCCGGTCATGCGCGTCAAGCGTATGTAGCGCGGGATGATCAACGGGCCACGCAGACCGGGCGCCGATGATGTTGCCGCTGCATCTCTCACTCTCTCTCTCTCTCTCTCCCTCTTTCGCTTGCCACGTCTACTTTACTCGGAGTTGCCACGACATCGTCTCACACACCATGCTGCTGCTGCTTGCTGCTGCTCCCGGAAGCCCGCTTTTCCATTGTAAGCTTCCACTGACTTCCCGTCCCTTTTTTTTGCGTCTTCCGTTTGTCAGGAAACGGACACGCACTGGAGAGCCAAGGGAGGGAAGGGGTCCTTCAACTGGCGCATGAAGTTCCGTGTGATACTTGGCCCAAGGGCCCGAAGTTCCAAGTTCCCGTACCTCACCTTGCAGGCAAGCCCACGTTTTCACTTCTTTGTTGGTTTTCTGCTCAACCCTGTTTTCGCACGTATACTTACGTGCGTGGAAGCGACAGAGATACCACCTGCTGCTGCCGTCAGGAAGCGGTGCCTGACGCTGTTGGTGCGTTGTTGTAGATGATGCTGTCAGCAGATGTTTACGTACGTGCGTTTTCGTTAGTCGGTGTTGGTGAGGCCGAGGCCCGGAAGGTCGAGGGTCGCCGCACCTCACGCGCTCGAGAAGAAAGCAAGGCGTTGGTTTTGCGACTTGGTTGTACCGAGTTCTGGCACAAAAATTCTATATATATGTTCTCTTGCTTCGTGGATTCCGGCCGTCAGTTGTTATTTTTTTCCTATTCTCTTGCGTCACTGCTGTACCTTTTTTATTGTTCGTCCTCGGTTGTAACCTCCTGTGCACGGATGACGCCTTTTATGTGATTTCGTCGCTGTACCAATGTTTTTTTTTCGTCCTCGGTGGTAGCCTCCTTTGCACGGATGACGCCTTTTTGTGCGGACGAAACATTTCACGAAAGATGGATACAGCAGTACGTACGTCTACACCAGTAGCCGCTGTCATGTCATCTGGTGTGGGCGACTACTATTGTTTGGAATAGTGGATAACCACGGGAACATGTTTTTTTTTCTGGACAACTTTTAGGCCAGGGCAAAGAGCAACAACAGCAGATTTAGTACACCAAAACCAACAACCCAACGAGCGGCAAATAGCGGACAACGACCTCCGCCATCAGGGCAACAACGTACAACTTTGAAATAACAAATAACAAGGAATATTTTATTTTCGCGACGACTATTGTACGGCGACTACTAGCACCAACCACTATTATAGCGCTGCACAACCTCAAGCGACAACTATTATATTATACATCAACACCCATGATGGCACTAACGTTAGAAATCCCCAACCTCGATGATAATGACGGTGACGGAGAACAGATGTGGGACAAGGACTTGCTGTGGAACGACTGCATCGCCGAGGGGATGCTGGACCTCGGCAAGCACTTCCGACGCGCCTACAAGAAGAAGAACGAGGTGCTGAAGCTGTTCGAGAGCGAGCAGACGGAGAGGGCCAAGGAAGCCATCGTCAAGACCCAGCAGGCGCTCAAGTCGGAGCAGGTGTGTTGCGGTTGCAGGGCACGTTGCTTCGACAGAGGCAGGGGTCGTGCTTTGGTTTGTCCCCTCGTTTGTTTTGAGCGCTTTGTGTATCTTGCGTCGCCGCTGATTTGTTTCTGTTTGACCGGAGAACCAGTTTTCGGTTTTCACCCGGATTCGGTTTTATAACCAGACAGGAACCGGTGGAGGATTGCCGATTTATTGCTTGCGCAACACGGATTAAACAGGTTCACTTGTGTGGCGCTGCTGCCATGCGATTGAGAGCACCCATTCATCATAAAGGGCGTGCACCGTACTAAATGGTTGTCATCCAAATCCAGGTGTTGCACCAACTCTGTGATAGGAGTACAAAGAGTATTGAAATTATGTTCTGCATGATACAGAAGGCGTTCCTCGGTTGGGTGAAGTGGAGCAACTGCTGTGTAAGTGAAATGCTTGCATGCTTTTCTGGCAGTACGATATCTTCGTGAGGCAAAGCGGGTTCGCATCCACTATTGAGTGGAATGACGTTGAAGTCTGTGGTTGTTGTCGAATCCCACTAGACATTCCACGTCGGTAGGTGTTAACATCTCAACTTGTTTTAGCAAAATGCTAACGAAACATCATGAGAAAAGCGTCTGCCAAGTTGAGACTGGAGGTGGTCACCGTTGACAATACACCCCCTTTTTTTGCGTGCTTGTCAATCTATCTGTCGGAAAGTGTTGAAAAAATGAAGCTGGAGGACTTTCTGAGTCGGTTTTCGGTTTTCTGTTTGACCGGAGAACTCAGAAGAAGGTTGTAGTCTGCTGAAAGAGTCTTGACCTTGCGAGTTCTGGGAACGTTCTGCCTTGATTTTTCTTCACCGGATCAGACTGGATTGTTGGTGTTGCTTACCTCCGTCGGTCTGTTCGTTCGCGCTAGTACAGCAGTATGCCCCTTCTATACCCCCTCCATCGCACGACAATAAGCCTTGTATGTTTTGGATTGTCTTGTCAGTTCTTTTTGCGCATGTCGGACCCAAGTACCATCTATTTTGTGTTTGTTTGTACCCGTCATCCTTTCCCCCCCCTGTCCCCTGTCCCCGACCAGGCGAAAGCCCTGAAGTATGAGCTACAAACCGGAATCCCCAACCCGCTGCTGGGCGATATCGAGGACGACCAACCCGTCTCTCCCATATCCGCGGACGCCGAGATTGGATCCGGCCGGCCCGGCAACAGGGCGGCCGCAAACGCCGGCGAGGATAGGCGTGGCGGCGGCGGCGGCGGCTGGTGCTGTTTCGGTGGGAAGAAGCCCATGACTCAGCTCGAGCTTCGTGCGGAGAACGACCGTCGACGGACTCTGGGGATGCCGCTCCTGGACGAGGAGGAAGGGCTGACGGCGAAGGAGGCCAGGGAGAGAAGGAAGGAGGTACGACAGACAGGGAGGCGCGTGGGGGGGGGGTGGGGGGGGGAGGCTGCAGAAATCCTTACCGTTGGTTACCGTGTCGTTTGTTTCGTCTGCGCTGGTGTAGCAGCGGGGGAGACGGAAGCCTATCGATGGTATCTACGCTTGTGAAGGAAGGGGGACAAAACGGATGTTGGCGCAAGTGTTCGTCCTATCTGCCGTCGACAATAGCCTCCCGCCTCCTCTCCCCGGCTTCATGTCCGAGAGGGGCCCATGCTGCCGATGTGTTGGCATGATTGGGACGTGGTATTGGTGTAGTTCCCGGCTCGTCGGTTCATCCACCCGCCATCGAAACCATTATGCCTACTTGAACCGGAACTTACCGTGAAGCGAAAACAAAACCCTGTCGGATGGGCAGGAGGGCGACGAGGAAGTGAAGGAGCTGATCCAGAAGCTCAAGGTCATGGCGGGGATAAGCAACGACGACCCGCCGGATTCCCAGTGGATAAGCCTGGAGAAGACCGACCGGAAAACCGGCAAGAAGGTGGGCGGGTTGGGGGGCAGTTGTGGTCTTGTTTGCGTGATTTATGTGCGTCGATGAAGGGAGCGCACTATTAACAGCAGGCAGGTTGGATTGTGCGGTTCAATGTTGGATGCGTATGTGCCTACTGTGAAGTTCTCAATGACACAGCCTAATGACCTCCATGATAATATGATATTCCCTCCGACGGGTGGATGTCCTCTGCTGTATGCAAACGCGCGTTACGTCGTTTACCTCTCTCTCCCCCCTAGCATGCGCGTTCATAACAGTGCTAAATCTGTTGTCGATGTGCCGTGTGGTGCCGTACGTGTTGCCCCCCCCCCCCCCCGCCCCGGTACGTGTTTGTTTACGCGCCGCGCTGCGTAGACCCCGATGGGGAAATGCCTCATCGGCATCCAGATTTACCCGCTGGACAAGGCCGAGGCGCAGCCGGCAGGGTTTGGGCAGGGCCGAGCCCAACGACTCTCCGTTCTTGCCCCCTCCCAACGGACGCCTCCAGTTCGGGTGGAACCCCATCTCCATGATCTCACAGCTGCTGGGCCCCCGGCTTTGCGCCATCCTGTGCTGCTTCCTGTGTTGCGGCATCATCATCACGAGCCTGATCGTCTTCCAACCCTTGTGGAATCTCTTGATCGCTCTGGCCTTCAACAATTAGAAGCCAACGGGTTGAACAACACCCCCAAGGCCAACAGCAACAGAGAGTTAACGCTGTTTTCTGACGTGTTTTTTTTTCGTGGGCTCCTTGGTCTACTGGTATGGACGGTCGGCGTTGCCAGCTATTTTGCCGTCTATGCCGCGGACGCGGGGGGCGATGGGTTGGGCTTGGTTGTGAAGTTGTCGGGGAAGGGAAGGGGCGGAGGACGTTCATGATTTGGCTGGTTGGTTTGTTGACTGGTTGTCTTTGTCCGTCTGTGTGAAGTATGAATGTTCATCGGTTTACGTTGATCGTGGGGGCGGGTGTTGTCGACGCTTAAGACTATGGATTTTAACGAATTTCACGTGTGTTGCTTCTGCTGCTTGAATTTTTTGCTGGCGTAGCGCATGGTACATAGTGCTCAACAACCAGACACGAACGAATCTGTACATGGGTATACCTTCTTTTTTCCGGCGCGACGCCTGCTACGTGGGAAGGTGAGCACTGCCACTTTTTTCGATGGCAGGTCAAAGCCCCGCCTTGGTTTTCTGTCAGCTGCAGGCGTTTTTGTCGCATGCTGACCACGGTGGCGTCGCTTGTGTCTGAAGCCGAACGGCTCGTGTGTTTGTTGTATGGTCGTGTGTATGTGGTTGTGGTCGTATCTCTCGGCAAGGAGAGGCAGCGTAACTTTGGGCGAGGCTGTTTTTTTTAGCCTAGTGGTGGTGGTACTGCGAGGCGAGTAGCAGTATGCAACGCTTTGGTTTGAGGCGGATTGAACGCTTCGTTTTTGAGGCGTTTCTACCTCCCGCACGGGTAAAAAGATTGTACCTACTGGGTGCCAAAGGCATTCAGCCTGGCGCGTTTTTCCTCAAGGCACCGGGCGTATGTGCTAAATAGATGCCCTCTTTCGTGCATCAACTAAAGGTCCTGTTCGTCGCTTGACGTGGTTCTGCTCTAGTGTTCAGAAGAAGAACGAGGACCGCATGGGAGCCTGTTCTGGTTGGCGTAAGTTCCAACGCTATGCTCATAACGGCGTCATCGTCCAACCAACATGTCGCTTCCTGCCGGAGTTTTTTTGTGGGTGCAATGTGCGTGGGCGATTCATCTGGACGCGTTCACCTTTGCGGCGCAGCAGTGCACAGCAGTGGTATTCGCCGTGCTTTGCGGACCGTATTTTGCTCGGTCATTTGGCCAAAGACCAAGGCTGAGCCGGGCGGGATGTAGCGCAACAAGGCGGGAGGTGGAGGGGGCGAGGGGGGGAGTCCATGAGAGAAAGCATGCCGTAGTAGTCGTTGGCCTACCGTCGGCCTCTCGTTTCTTATGGGCGCGTTTGTGCGTTTGTTTGTTTGTGTTCAGTGTGTGACACACTGTGTGTCTTTCGTTCGTTCTCGGTCGGCCCCACTGAAACTGCCTTTGTTTTATCTTATCTTACAACACCTGGTCGGTCGTGTCCTGGGATCGGCTTACAAATGTGCACAACGTCTGGTTCTAGGAATGGTTTTGTTCCGAATAGCGACAAGAGAGAAGGAATCGAAGGGGGGGAGAGCGAAAAACTTCGGCGCTGCTGCGCGTTATTGTTAGAATTTGACGTTTGGAAGACATTTTTTTTTTGGTCGTGTGCCCGGTTCAATGGGCAATGTATTATTGTAAATTTGCGCAACAATATACAGAAGCAGAGCCATCTAAGTCTAGACTATATACCGGAGCACGGAAGAGGGGGCGGATTTGTAACATATATTCAATGAGGGTGGAATCTCGGGAATGGGGCGGAAGGGGTCGCGAGGGCCGCGACATGTTTGTTTTTTTGCAAAAAAGTTGAGGGAGGTGCGGCGGTTTCAAGAGGAGTTTGTTTGGTGTGATGAAGAGGAGAGAGCCTCTTTGTTCAGCCACACTGCTGTTTGTGTTGCGCAGGCTAATAATGAAGGACGATTACTGTGGGGGACGGGGCTACGTTGGTTTACATTGTAGCTCTCATGCAGCAGACTGGGCAGGAGGCCCACAGCAACGGGGGCGCGAATCACGACTCAAGCCGAGAGATTGCCAAATTCCGTGTGTTGCAGGCCATGTACCTACCCTATGTCATCCCGCGAGCTACACGTAGTGAGTATACTGCTGTAGTCAGTCTAGTTTTTGTCGCAGGGGAAGCGGCAGTGAGTCAAGTGTGCAGGCAACTACTGTAATGTTTTGCTTTTTCTAAGAAGACATCATGCAGGGAGTGAACGCTACAACTAACTAAGCATCCAGCAGCAGCAGCAGGGGAACATCCTCAGTACGCCTGCCTGCATGTGCCATCCAATCGCCCGGACATTCAACGCGATGCAGAGTGCTTCATGTGAGCCACCGCTCTTGAGAGTAGTGCCTGTTCGGCTGGATCCATGGTCTCGTTTGTTGCGCAGTTATGTACATGAGGCATGAGTACATGAGATTGTTGTCTTTGTCATCACAGGCATCTGATCATGTGATCACAGCAGTGTTGGATATTGGGTATCGAATATCGATACAAAACTGATATATATCGCCGATACGCAGTATCGGTATTGCCGGTTTCCACGCCAATATTTGTCGATACGAATCGGTATCGGTATTTATATCGGTATTCGATACTCGATATTTTGGCCCCCTTTTTACCGGGGGGGGGTCAGTTTCCCAGCTGTCTACCCCCTTTTTTCGCTCCCCGAAGGCGCCTGCTACGCGCCCACTCCTGTCGCCCCCCACTGCCATCACAACCACACACCACACACACACCAGCCCCTGCCAGCCACACACCACACCAACAGCGCCTGTGTCTCAGCTCCTGAGAACCACATCGGTGTGCAACATGAGCCTTCAAGAATTCGGCTTTGTCGCCGGCGATAGCGCTGCCTCTGCCGAATGAGTAGTAGCAGTCATCCCCGTTAATTTTAGAGTCAGCTTGCCTCCTTATGTAGATTTGGCGTTTCCCGCAGTTTCAGCAGTAGAACTGCTACATTAGTGCGAACAGAGGCCGTACCTCCTGCGGACAATTTATGCTGTGTGAACTTGGTTTTGGGACTTGTAATACGTAATGGCAAGGTGTGCTTGATTTCATGTCCGACCACTTGGGCGTGTGATGAATAGAGGTAGGTGATGTCGTCGTGTTCAAGTTTGGCAAGCGTTTGATTTTCGCACATAATGTTTTCGCCATGTTTTTTCGTTTGTTTCCTTTTGGCTGTTGGTTTTTCTAGAGTTGATACTCGCTCGAGGTGCATTGCTGATTGTTGGGCACCCACAACTGGTGGGTGGAATTTTGCATGCATAACTTTGAAGGTAGTAAGATAATATAAAACCAAGTGTTCGAGTTTTTTTCGCGTTTTTTTGTCATGAAATCCTGCTCGCAGCCGAGCTTGCACGGATTCGATCGCAACCGTACGGCGGTGTTGTAGTGTGTACGTGTATACACACATGCACACTGACTGTAAAATGTAAAATATATCTGGTGGACATAGCTACACAACCAACTCCTGCCTCTTGCACGATGCAGTTTTTTTTTTTTTTGTATGCGCAACATCACGTCACAACGTGTGCCCGCTGTTGTTGTGCCCGTGATGTTCAACTAACTAACTGCACACACCTGGCACCTGGCAAACACCACTACTTGCATGCCGCCGGACCATGCGCTCACGTCTTGCGCACTGCTGTATACTTCAGATAAGGGTTCGGGTGTGCCAGGGTACGTGTAGTTGCGTAACGCTCGCTCTTCTTGTAACCTGAGGCCTTCAAAACAGCCGTATCGATATCGAGTATCGATACTCGATACGTATCGAGCCATTTTCGGGATATCGAACAAAATATCGGTATTTGTGTTTTTTTCTCGATACGATTGGCGTATTGTATCGAACCCTTCTGCCCGACCAATATCCAACACTGGATCACAGCCACTTCATTCCACCCCCGCGCACTATTCTGATTGGTGCAATGCAATTTGTTTGACAGTCTCGCCGGATGGAGATCACCCGCGTTTTTTCGCTCCTCTTTCCTCTTTCCTCTTCCTCCCCCCACTGCCCACGGGCCATGGTTTCCTCGCAACAAGACTACTATGCACGCACGCGTCGCATCAACGTGTCCGACGTGCCCAACAAAGAAATTCACCCGTGCCCTCTGCGCTGCGTGGGTTCGAGCGATTGTTTTTTCCAATTCGAAAACCCAGTTTGTTGCGATCTTTTGTTTGTTTCCACGGTGGCAGCAGGCTATACTACTACGAAAGCACAGCAGTGTAGTCTATGTACGAACCTGTACCTGTAGGATTCCAATAAAAAAGCAACCCGGGCTCGAAGATATAGCCTAGACGGTTCCTTTCACAGGAGCATTCTCCCCACTCCAAACACAACGTGCTGATGGCTCAACAGGTGATCAGTTCAACCCTCGTTCCATCAGAACTTCCAGCTATTGAGCGCTTTGTCCACGCAAGGCACAAGAAGCGCTGCTGACGAGGAGATTTATAGATAGTATGCAAAGACTAGATAGTCTACATCTCTATATTTTGTTGGTACGGCAGCAAGCGCACGCACTTACTGTAAGAACCTCTTGTCAATTGTTTTAGGCCGAGGCTGGGTTTAGTTCCTACTTCAGTATTAGATAATGTCATTCATGCTACGAATGGCAGCTCTCGGTTGGATGTATGTATGTAGGTTGCTGTATGCATTGGGATTGCTTACTAGGTACTAGAAGGACGCACTATCACCGTGCCTGGTGTTGCTCCTATGCCGTTCTTCGCACCGCTACCAGTTGAGCCCGGGCATGTCTGCTTTGCGGACTTTCTTTGAGTTGGGGTTGTAACGAGTAATGACGAGTATTGGCGGCCGACAAGAAACTACCATCATCGTAAGTCGATCCCTCCGCATGGTGCTACAAAAAACAACGTTTCATTTTCCAAAGGTCACACACAAGTGCGCGCGGGATATTGTTATCCATGGTACACCAGATCCATCTTTTCGTTCGTCTCCTGGAGTACACGTCATCCTCCTCTTCTCCTTTCTCACGACTAGAAAAAAACGACCATATTCTTCCTCTTTCCTCAACAAGAAACAACCTCCTATACCCTTCCTTTGCGGAACAGAAATAACATCACACCTTCCCTTGTCTTCACGCCCTTAACTTATTCAAATTATCCATCCCCCCCTGGAGAGTTTTTTTGTTTTTGTTTCCCCTGACCTTTCTCCCCCTGGAGAGGTTTGCTTGTTTTTGTTTCCCCTGACACGTCGTTGTCCTCTTTGCGCTGGACAGCAACATCTGCTTCCCTCGGGAATAGTACTTCGAATGGCTAGTCTTTCTGCCATGTGACACGTGACACAAATGTTAAACAAAATGAAAACAAATTAGACCAACCCTTCCCGTCGGATGCAATACACATCGTAAACCGAAATCCCCGAAAACAAACGTATCGCCCCCCCCCCGCGGTAGGTGAACGCGCTCTATGAATAACGCACCACGGGCGAAACACCGCAGTAGTTTCTTCCTAGCGAAAATGTACCAATCGCCCCCTTTCGATACTCCTAGTAGACAGAGCAGAGTCGCACAAAATCAATCGAAAACGAAAACCGAGGCCCTTTGGATGTCGTTCTTCCACCTTCAAAGACACCGGTATAGCCCAACACTCGTGTGCGCTACCGACGTACAACAACCGCCTGGAAACACAGAAGGATTGGTGTTTCAGAAAATAAGTAGCGCATAAATTAGCCAACCATCGAGGGAATCAGGTCTATTTTAGTCGTCGAAATGGACACAACACACACACATGCGTGCCAAACAAATGTTACACCTGAGCTGCCGTAAACGCTGAAGCAAAGATAGACATCCACACATCCACCCACACACACCGCGGTCGATGTCAAAAAAGAGAGAGAGACACACACGCACACACACTCCGGACAATAACCTAGCCTCCCCGCGTGACCCCGCATCACGAGGCCCCAGATCATGGCATCTAGAAGATTTCCCGGATTTAACCGCGCTGAAACTGGCGTCTATCAATGGTCAGTTGGGTAGCGCGTGTTTCAGAAAACAGGTAGCACACAGCGAATCATCGAAGGAATCAAGTCTAGTCGTCGAAATGGACACAACACACACGCGATGTGCCAAAAAAAACATTTTACACCTGAGCTGCCTGAAACGTCAAAGCAAAGAGAGATATCCACACCCACAACCACGTGGTCGATGCTAAATTAATAGGAGAGAAAGAGACACACACACTCTCCGGAGAATAGCCTAGCCCCCCCCCTGACCCCCCCTCACGAGGCCCCAGATCATGGCATTTAGAAGCATTTCCCGGATTTAGCCGCACTGAGACTGGCGTCTATGAATGGTCAGTCAGGTAGCCTGGTGGATGCTAATACCAACGACACACACACACACACACCGGAGAATTGTCTAGCCCCCCCCCGTGACCCCCCATCACGAGGCCCCAGATCAGGCATTAAGAAGCACTTCCCGGGGTTAACCGCACGGACACTTGATTGAGTCGTTCAACGGTCAGTCGGTAGCGCGGTCGATGCTGCTAATGAAAAATAAAAAACACACGCACACACACACACACATGTTTCCTACGTCCTGCAAATGATGGTCTCGCCCTCCGAGTTGCGTAAAACAAAAACCTCTGTCGACTCACACCACTGGCACTTGAAGGAGTGCTCGTTGGACCGACCCATCTATCTATGTCGCCACAGACAAGCGCAACACCACCACCTCAAAAAGCAGCCCTTCGCATGCAAGTAGCAGAATCAGCTCTCCACATCACTTGCCACACTGAACTAACTGCTGTCGTAGCACCGGGACTACTACAGTAGTGCGACACACACACACACGGGACTTTCGTGGTAACCACAAAAAAACAAACACACACACACACACCAGGAACGGGTCCCACTAGTTGCCAATAGCGGCCATGACGACCACATCTTCTATCCAACAAAACAAAACACCAAAACAAAACAACGCTTGGCAGAGCACAAGGGGGGAGGGAGGGCAGGGGGCGCCTACTCTCCGAAATAAACCATCTCGCCGCAATCGTATGAAACATGAACATCCATACATTGATTGCCGGGAACGTACTACAAAGTCAGAGGGTATGCCGGGGTTTGTCGGCTAAACCTGTGTTCGACGAGGAAGGATGACTGGACAAATGCTGTAGCTGTAGCTGCAGCTACTTGTGCTCGATCACCATCCCGTCTTTGCATCGTCCAACAATATCGGGGGGTGGGTGGGGGAATAGAACAAAATGCCTTGGCAATCAAGCATCCATTCCCATCGGCTTCTTGCAAGCACCAACAGCAGTCAAGTTTTTTCCTCCACTGCTTCACCGGGATCAATCCCGGTAGCCGCAGCAGGTCAGACACAGACATGCAGAGGTACTTCCAAAGAAGCGACAAAAAAAAAGGGTATCCCCACCCGGATATCAGTTGATACAGCGGCCACAAGAGCGCTCCAACACCGTCCCCGTAAACTCGCTATAAGTACAGCCGTCGGTCTCCCTAGCTGAAGACAGACACATCCGTAATACAACCGATGGCATTGTCGTTCGACGACACATGCAAACTGTGCAAAGCGAAGGACAAAAAAATGTACGGAACAAAGCGCGAACGCAACGCTATGCAGCAAGGGCTACAAATGAACTCAAGCATTCCCATCGGCTTCTTGCAAGCACCAACAGCAGTCAAGTTTTTTCCTCCACTGTTTTACCGGGATCAATCCCGGTAGCCGCAGCAGATCAGACACAGACATGCAGAGGTACTTCCAAAGAATCGACAAAAAAAAAGCGGTGTCCCCACCCGAATATCACTCGATAAAGCGGCCACAAGAGCGCCCCAAGACCGTCCCCGTAAACTCGCAATAACTACAGCCCTACCTGAAGGCAGACACATCGGTAATACATCCGATGGCATTGTCGTTCGACGACATGTGCAAACTATGCCAAGCGAAGCGAAAAAATAATAGACGGAACAAAAGTGCGAACGCAGTGCTATGCAGCAAGGGCTGCAGATGAAGTCCGCTAGCAGCAGCAGCATATCCTACAACACATGCAGAGAGGTTGTACTTGAACACAAAGCGCGGAAAAACAAAACGGAAAAACAAAACCTTCCTCTCCACAAAAAAAACGGTCGACATGGCACGAAGCGGCAAATAGGGCGCTCCACTCCTGACCAAGTCAGCTCGCAATAAGAATAGTCTCCCCGCCCGAACAACACTCCCGACCCGGCCCCCGTTGTATCCGCAGACAGACAACACGATCACAGCAGTTGATCGCGATCATTCCCCTCCCTTCGGGTGAGACAACGAACACAAAAAAAAACGGACACAAAATTAAACAGTCATGTGAAATAAAAGACAAGCAGCGAAAAACAAAAGACTGCAAGCGTTCCCGGCATCACTAAGCAACGAACAAGATGAGACCTAAAGGGGTCTTCAGTTCCAGAAAAAAAACGTTCCCAGGCACCACCCCCAAGTGCAACAAAATAAAACGCGCGTGTGTGTGTGTGTGTACATGTGTCCACACTTAGACTGTCTCAGCCGAACCCATGCCATCGGCCGGTAACAGAAAACCAAAAAGAGAAAAAAAAACATGTGCAGTGTGTGTGTCCACCTATTGACTGTCTCAGCAAATAGCCCTTGCCCTTGAGTGGCCAACAGTAAAAAAAGAGAAAAAAAACGTGTGTGTGTGTGTGTCTCCATCTACGGCATGCTTTAGTAGGCAATCCATATCCTAGGTAGGCAGTACCGACAGTCAATACAAACCAAAACTCCAGACCTAAAAAGTGGTCTTTAGTTCCAGAAAAAAACTGTCCCCAAGCACCGACTTTCTCCAACCCCCAGTGCAACAAACAAAAAGTGTGCGTGTATGTCTCCATCTACGGCATGCTTTAGTAGGCAATCCATATTCTAGGTAGGCAGTACCGACAGTCAATACAAACCGAAACTCCAGACCTAAAAAGTGGTCTTTAGTTCCAGAAAAAAACTGTCCCCAAGCACCGCCTTTCTCCAAACCCCAGTGCAACAAACAAAACGTGTGCGTGTATGTCTCCATCTACGGCATGCTTTAGTAGGCAATCCATATCCTAGGTAGGCAGCAGCGACAGTCAATACAAACCGAAACTCCAGACCTAAAAAGTGGTCTTTAGTTCCAGAAAAAAACTGTCCCCAAGCACCGCCTTTCTCCAACCCCCAGTGCAAGAAACAAAAAGTGTGCGTGTATGTCTCCATCTACGGCATGCTTTAGTAGGCAATCCATATCCTAGGTAGGCAGCAGCGACAGTCAATACAAACCAAAACTCCAGACCTAAAAAGTGGTCTTTAGTTCCAGAAAAAAACTGTCCCCAAGCACCGACTTTCTCCAACCCCCAGTGCAAGAAACAAAACGTGTGCGTGTATGTCTCCATCTACGGCATGCTTTAGTAGGCAATCCATACCCTTGGTCGGTAGCAATGACAATCAAACCAAACCAAAACTCCAGACCTAAAAAGTGGTCTTTAGTTCCAGAAAAAAACTGTCCCCAAGCACCGCCTTCTCCAACCCCCAGTGCAACAAACAAAACGTGTGCGTGTATGTCTCCATCTACGGCATGCTTTAGGAAGCGATCCATATCCTAGGTAGGCAGCAACGACAGTCAAACCAAACCAAAACTCCAGACCTAAAAAGTGGTCTTTAGTTCCAGAAAAAACTGTCCCCAAGCACCGCCTTTCTCCAACCCCCAGTGCAACAAACAAAACGTGTGCGTGTATGTCTCCATCTACGGCATGCTTTGGGAAGCGATCCATATCCTAGGTAGGCAGCAGCGACATTCAAACCAAAGCAACAAAAAAACAAACGTGTGTGTGTGGGTCTCTCTCCGTCTATCGCATACTGGAGCAGACAATCCATCTCCTAAATGGCAGGCAACGGCAAAGAAACTTAACCTCAAACCCAACCCGTCTCCTCCGCGCCGGGCTTCAAGTGTCCTTCTATCCCACCCACAGGAGAAAGGTTTATCCATCACAATCAAACCAACAAGAGAATAAGCAAGAAAACGACTTGGAATTTAAGACTGAAGCATACCCAATGAGTAACAGCATACTAGGTGGATGCGTTTCTCTCGAAAATAAGTACATGCTTACATAATCTACGTGTCTTCAAATTCGTGAAATCAAATTACCGCGAACGCACTCACTCACGAGCTCGAGGTAGCACAGAAAGAGAGAGAGAGAGCGCTTCATTCGGCCCAGAGGGAACCTCCGGCCAAACGAAAATGAGCACGTTCATGGTCGGCCCCATGGGCATCATCCCCAACTACCCGTCTTCCCCCCCCCGTCCTTCTCCCCCCACCCCCGCCTCCACCATCGCTCTTTGCCCCCACCGCGGTCCTTGCCCTCGCCGCGGTTGCTGCCAGTGCTGCCAGTGCTGCCAGTGCTGCCAGCGCTGTCACTGATGATGCTGACGTCGTCACCGGCGGACCTTTTGTTCGACAAGGCACCAAAAGGAAATAGGCACCACAGGAAATTCACATGAATATAAATATTCATTCGTGCAATGGACGCTGCATTCATGCAATATATGCTTCGAAGTATCATAGACTAGAACAGTGACGAGTGAATTTACGACCATATTGTTGTCATTCGTACTTCCGTACGCCGAGATATGTACTTTGTAGCTAAAACATTCGATGAAATAACGTTCCGCCGCGGGCATACACAACCATGGCTAGCCACTTGTGGATGGGGCTGAGTCCAGCGTCGTCATGGTTGCGCTTAAACCGGACGACATCTGAGACCATGCAAACAAAAGGGACAAACTTCTTTCGCAGTGAAATAGGAACAAACGACTGAAAGCAAGTCGATTGATTCGTACCCAATACAACACGACCACTCTGTATTCCGAAACAAGCAAAGAGAGGACGCCAGGTCAACCTCCACACACTGACTGGCTGGTGCACAACCGGCTTGTTGTAGTCCACTTACCACACCACCTTGCCACGGGAGTTGACCACGTGCAGGTCGCCGGTGTGCTCCGAAAAGCTGGCCACCCCGCCGCCGCGGCCCCGAAATAGAGCGTCGATGACGCTCCTCGGCGGGCGGCGGGGGGTCTCGTGGGTGCGGCAGAAAAAGCCGCGCCCCACCACGAGCTTCTCCCCGCGCATGCGTGCGCGGTGCTCGAAGTCGCCGATGAACGGCACGGCCCTGCGGACCAGCCGTTCCGCGGAACAGAGCATGCCCCCCGCCCCGTCCTGCCCGTTGCCGTCGTCGCCGCCGTCGCCGCCGTTGCCGCTCAGGTCCTTGCCGAGGACGGCGGAAAAGGGCACCTGATGGTGTTGTTTTGTCCAGTCCAGTCGAGAGGGAAAAAAAAGAAAGGGTGATCGGGAAGTGAGGTCAGGGAGGTCCTGAGCATGAACACAAAACAATCTTGTAAGCCCCTGACGCAAGTGGGTTTTGTTACGGCGGGGAGGGGTCCGGTGTATAGCAGCACCAGTAGCGAGGTTCTCGCTTTAGAGAACACCGAATCCTCTGCGCGTGCGTGTTCCCAAAGAAGCGAAAATCGTCTCCCCAAAAACACCTCGAAGAAGAGGAGCAGCCGCACCGGCGTCGCCCCCATGCACCGGTATTCGCTACAGGGGGAGAAGTTGGATTATAATCGATTGTACAGTACCATCGCCACTACCGCCTCTGCGGCTGGACTTACCTCCTTCCCGTCCGTGCCCGAGTACACGGCTCCGTCGTCGGTGACGGTCAGCCGTGCCTTCCAGCTGACACCCGGCACCCAGCCCAGGTACCGCGAGCCCCCCTCGGACTCGACGCACTCGCCGACCGCCATCGGCCCTTCGCCGGACGCCAGCGAGGTGCGCCCGCACGGCACGCTCAGCGGCCTATGCGGGGCCATGGAGAAGACCAAACGTTCAACGTAGTGATGAAGGGTTGGGGGAGGGGTGTGGGCTTAGGGGGGACGGTACATGACGGAGGAAAAGAAGGAACGAAGACGAGACGAGGCTGAGAAAAAGGCGATGCCGGCGGTTTACTGTGTTCCAGACGAGACAAATCGGAGAATGAGTATAACAGTACTGGTGTGAGGTTGACTTGTGGTCGATCGCGTGCTCTTCAAAAACATTCAACGCTGTCTACTTTTGAGGTACACGCTTCTTCCTAATGGCCTGCCTGCCTCCAAGCACGGCATATCCCAATTGCTTTCTTCACTCTTTCCTTGCTCTTCTCACCCTTGCAGCAGCAGGACTGGCCAAGTGCCAACTGCCACGACCACAGTCATCAGCAGCATGACCACCTGCCACCACCACCACCCCTTCCTCCGTGCCAGCGCTGTAGCCGCTGCCGCCGCTGCCCTGGCTTCCTCTGCCTCGATGCGAGCCATCTGTTCCTCCACCGCTCCCTCCAGCGCTGCCGCCGCGGCTGCCGCTGCCTCCGCCCGCAGGGCAGCCACGTGTCGGCGGGCAGCTCGTCCCCGGTACGCCGCCTGCACCAGGACAGCCATCGACGCCAGTCGCCTGCGCTCTCCGCGCGCGAACCCTCTCCCTGCCCGGCCCCTCATCACCGCCTGCAGGCGTACCGCCGCGCGAGCCTGACAGCAGTACGCGGTCCATTCAAAACACGGGAAGTTTTCGCAGAAAGAAAGAGGATCGGCGACACGTACAGCGAGCATCGTCGGGATTAATGTGGCGGTAGTGTGCAGGTGAGGTCGCAGTTGTTGCCATGGGACGGGGCGGTACAAGTGGGGTGATGCCCTGGGCAGCACACTCTGAATGGGTGTGCTCGCACATGCACTAGGTCAGAACAGTGCGAGCTGTCCACCAATGTCGCGAGACATCTACCACTGAACGTTGGGGTGATCAATCGTGCACTAGTCAACCTGTCGGCCTTAGGAGACACCAGTGTCCACCGCTCAACAGCCCGTCGGGCCCATCCACGCCGCCCCCCTAAAATAACCAACAACCGCAGCAACAACATCAACAACAACAACAACAACACCCCCGCCCCCTTGTTACTCCTGATCGTCGACAGTGGCAAAAAAAAAAACGCTTCCTTACCTCCCGGGCCGCCTGCTCCCGCGCTGCTGCGTCCCTTGCCTCCACCACGCCAGCCACCACCCCCTCGAGCGCTGCCGACACCGCCGCCGCGGCTGCCGCTGCCCTCTCCCTCGCCTCCCTCGCCGCCCGCCACTCAGCCACGTGTCCGCGGGCAGCCCGTCCCCGGTACGCCGCCTGCACCAGGACAGCCATCGACGCCAGTCGCCTGCGCTCTCCGCGCACGAACTCTCTCCCTGCCCGGCCCCTCATCACCGCCTGCAGGCGTACCGCCGCGCGAGCCTGACAGCAGTGCACGGTCCGTTCAAAACACGGGAAGTTTTCGCAGAAACAAAGAGGATCGGCGACACGTACAGCGAGCATCGTCAGGATTATTGTGGCGGTAGTGTCCAGATGAGGTCGCAGTTGTTGCCATGGGACGGGGCGGTACAAGTGGGGTGATGCCCTGGGCAGCACACTCTGAATGGGTGTGCTCGCACATGCACTAGGTCAGAACAGTGCGAGCTGTCCACCAATGTCGCGAGACATCTACCACTGAACGTTGGGGTGATCAATCGTGCACTAGTCAACCTGTCGGCCTTAGGAGACACCAGTGTCCACCGCACAACAGCCCGTCGGGCCCATCCACGCCGCCCCCCTCAAAACCAACAACTGCAGCAACAACAACAACAACAACAACAGCACCCCCGCCCCCTTGTTACTCCTGATCGTCGACAGTGGCAAAAAAAAAGACGCTTCCTTACCTCCCGCGCCGCCTGCTCCCGCGCTACTGCTGTCGCTGCCTTCGCCCTGCTCCGCCGCCGAGCCCGGAATGCCCGCTGCAGAGACAAGGCAACCTTCGCCCTCGCCCTCGTCAGAATCGCCGCCCGCAACGCATCCGCCTCTCGGCGGGCAGCCATCGACGTCAGTCGCCTGCGTTCTCCGCACGTGAACTCCCTCCCCTCCCGGTCCCTCACCACCACCTGCAGGCGTGCCGCCGCGCGAGCCTAACAGCAGGTACGGCCGATTCAAAACACGGGAATTTTTCACAGAAAGAAAAGCGGATCGGCGTCACGTACAGAATACATCGTCTGGTGTAGTGCGGCGGTAGTGTGCAGGTGAGGTCGCCGTTGTTGTCATCGGACGGGGCGGTACAACTGGTGGGGTGATGCCCTCGGCAGCACACCCAGCTCGCACATGCACCAGGTCAGAGCAGTGCGAGCTGTCCACCAATGTCGCGAGACATTTGCCACTGAACGTTGGGTTGATCAATCGTGTGCATTAGCCAGCCCGTCAGCCGCAAAGACGTCAGTATCCCCCACTCAACACCCCGCCCGGCTCACCAACGCCGCCCCCCTCCAACAACAACAACCCCTTGTTACTCCTGATCGTCGACAGTGGCAAAATACAAAAACGCCCCCTTGCCTTCCGCGTCGCCTGCTCCCGCGCTGCTTCTTCCGCTTGCATGAGCCACCACATGCGTCCGAACGCCTCTCGCTGAAAGGCGGCAAACGCACATTTGAGTACAAAGAACGACAGGCACACGGCGCTTGTGTGATATGGTACTGTAGTGCGCAGGTGAGGTCGCCGTTGTGGTCGTGGGGCGGGAGGGTACAGCCGGGGTGATGCCGTGGGCAGCATACTCTGCATGGGCGTGCTTACACACGCATCAGGCAACGTCGCGATGGAGCTTCCACCGAACGTTCGAGCAGTCAATCAAGCTGTCTGCGGTGTCACAGCGCTGTTGTGAGGTGGCCTACTGTAGTTCGAGCAGAAAGGCGTGCGCCTGCTGCAACTACAGCCTCAAACGTAACATTACCATTACCTAACATTCGAGACCCACCCTGTGACTTGCCATCGCCCATGGGTATCGATATCGATCGGGGTTCAGCCTTGCAGCAATCAACATCAACATCAACATCAATATCGACATCAACATCAACCCGTCAGCCGAAGAGACAACCAAGATCCAAGACTCAACAGTCCGCCCACTCGAAAAACAACAACAACCACAACACCCCCGCCCACGTGTCACTCCTGTCCGCCGAACTCGGCCAAAACAAATGCCGCCTTACCTCCCATCCCCTTATCTTCTGCATGATGTCACTTTGGAACTTCTCCCGCCCAAGTTGGAGCCTCTCCTGAAAGGCGGCAAACGCACGTGAGAGTACGAAGAACGATAGGCACGGCGTTTTATTAGCCAGGTTGTATGACACTCGATAAACAAGCGCCGGAACACAGGCAGCATTCCTGCCATTGGCGTTCGATTGCGTCTGAGTCTTGCCATCGAGCTCACGGATGGGCATCTAGTCCAAACAACCTGGATATTGTATTGCGTCCCCAAAACTGAAGAAAGTAAAAACACCCAAAACAAACACGAAACACACCCAACCCGTATAGATCCTGTGACTACATTATTATCGGTGCATATATACTGCGATGGTAGGGCCTACCGCTGACTGCTATTGGGCAGGCATACCTCCGCCAGATTGCGCGGCTTTCTGGGGTTCCCAGCCGGTGACTGCCGAGAAGTTGGCGCGACGTACGCCGAACGGATGTCCCCGAAAGCGGCACGGTGCAACAGGAGAGGGATAACGTTCAGTGCCGTCACGCAGGGTGGTAAAGTTTGAAAGGATAATGATGACATCGCGTCGTTCTTGCGTCGCCGAGTCCATGAGGTAAAGCATACCCACGACAGCAGCAGTATTTCTCTCGGACAGAGCGCGAGAGCGAAACTAGCAATATTGCAAACCACCCCGCAAACCCCTTCTCAATTTCCTTGTCTTTTCGGGATGGACGTTCCTCCGCCTCGCCAAAGCAACACTACCCTACCTGCGACTCCACGAAAACACGGCGTCAGGCACAAGAGAAGCTCGGACACGCAGCGCACCACGCATGCACAGCCCCAAACCGCAGCCATCGGCAACTAAACACCCACCACGTCGTCGAGGTCCGCAACCTCCTCCAAGCCATGCGGCCATCCTCCAGGGGCTTCGGTCGTGTTGGACGACGCCGCCGCACCCGCCGCCCCGAAGCCCCTCCCTGGGTTGCCCATCGGCCCCACCCACCCCATAGGTCCCGCCGCATCCACCCCCATGTCCGGCCCTCCCCTGTTTGCCGTCCCTCCTCCACGGCCCTGGCTTCCACCTTGCGCCGAGTGGAAGTGACCCCTGTCGCCGTGCGCCATTCCCCGTCCGTGCAACGTCGGCCCCGCTCCGGAACTGCTGTGCGCGCCACCGCGTTTGCTTGGGACAGCGTGGGGGGGAACTCGTGCCCTGCCACCTCGCAACGGGGAGACATGGCCTCCGCCACCACCACCACCCCCGCCGCCGTCGCCGCTGAGACCTTGGCCCCGGCGAGAGTGACTGCCGTCACCACCACCGCCGCCGCCGCCGCCACCCCCGCCGCCGCCACCCCCGCGACCTTGGCCCCAGCGAGAGTGACTGCCGTCACCATAACTGTCGCGCGCCGAAGCGACGTCATCTTGGCCATCACCGGGGTGTGGGCCATAGTGCCTAAAGGTGTGGCCCCTGTCCCGTCCTGGCCAATCGCGGGTAGCGTTTCCCCCGCCTCCCCTTCCACCCTTCGCGCCCGCCCTTGCGCCGCCGCCGCTACCACCGCGCGCCGAAGCGACGTCATCTTGGCCATCACCGGGTTGTGGGCCATAGTGCCTAAAGGTGTGGCCCCTGTCCCGTCCAGGCCAATCACGGGTAGCGTTTCCCCCGCCTCCCCTTCCACCCTTCGCGCCCACCCTTGCGCCGCCGCCGGCACCGCCACCGCCGCCACCGCCGCCACCGCGTGCCGCACCGACACCGTGGCCATCATTGCGGGCCGGGCGGTAGTTGTAGCCATCGCGTTCCTCGCTGCCCCATCCTCGCTGATCGTGGGTAGCGTTTCCCCACCCTCTCCCTCCACCCTCAGCGCTAGCCCTTGCGCCTCCGCCTCCGCCTCCGCCGCCGCCGCCGCCGCCGCGGGCCGCACGGCCGGCACCGGTCGGGTGGACGGTGAACGCCGGGGCATCGTGGCCATCGTCCGGGGGCGGGCGGTACTTGTCCAGGCCTTCGTCCCTGCCCCATCCTCGCTCCCCGCGGGAAGCGTGTCCACTGCGCCGTCCTCCCTCCCTGCGGGAAGCGTTTCCCTTGCCTCTCCCTCCACCCCCCGCGCCATCCCTTCCGCCGCCCTTCCGACGCCCCCTTCCACCACCGCCATGGCCACGGCCCGGCATCGCTTCAACCGCAATCTGCCCCAAGGCGAAACGAGCGACAAATCGACGAGCGGTTGGAAATTGGTTTCGGGGCTGGTGCGGTCACACAAGTATGCGCGTCTATGCATGACACCCAGAATTGGATGGGCATTTAATATGTCCACAGGCCGAACGGGGACAGGCAGTGCTAACATCGTAGGGCGGGTGCTGACTGGTTTCTAGCCACACATACAACCATACACCGGATTTGCAAACATCATGCACCATGCGCATAACAACGCAGGGCTCCTGGATATTGCCGCTGAAATCTCACTCTCTCCAAAACGAACAGCGGAGACAGACATACCATACTGCTGTGAGATGAATTTCTATCTCAAACGGGCAAAATCCATCTGATCCCATGTATAGAGTATCTTTTTATTACCGTCGGAGACAGACATACTGCTGTAAGATGCACTCTTGTCTCGAACGGCTAAAATTTCTCTGATCCGATGCATAGAAGTATCTTTTAACGCCGGCAGCTGCAAGTGTAGTACAGCAGTAGTATATTTAGCAGGTACCAAGATACTTGAGGAATGGATGGATTACATAACGGGCCATAACACTATGTGTGCGCTCCACAAACCTTTGTGCGGCGCACAACAGCAGTGTGGACTGAGATAGTACTGCTGTGCACGGTGCATGAGTCTAAACAAGCAAAGACAAAAAAAAGTATCTGCAAATCCATGCGGTTCTCATCTGGATCGCGTGGCCTACAAAACAAGGAAAAGCGCTACAATCCGTACAAAAAGGCAACATATGTAGGCGTGGCATATACCCCAAGTCAGTTGCAAAGCAAGGATTGTACTACCTAGGCACTTCGGATGGGTGCACCCTCAGTTCGGATGGGTGGGTCCTCCTCCCACACAGCACATGCAACACCGAGGCAGCCTCAATGTTACTTGTGCTGCAAGTCTTCCTCTCTCAATCTCTGCATGTGTGTTTCCTACATACGGAGTATGCAGGGAGAGGCTGCAGCAGCAGCAATAGTTTGCAGTTGGATCGAGGTACAACTTGCTCTCACCTCCTCGGTTGCTTGGAATCGCCCGGTGTACTTCAGCAGTCCCGTGCCTCCTCTCCTGAGTCTCTAGACGTCCTCTCAGCCACCCGCGAACCTCTTCAGGATACGCACAGGCGCTATCTGCTCTCTAGACTAACTCTCGCTGGCGCCAAAATACAAGATCCTGCAAGAGCAAAGACCCGTGAACACACCGCTCGCTGTGCCAGTCCCCGATACGCCTGTCGCCGATGCTGCAAGTTGCACCAAGTCTCACTGCGCGCGATGAGTCAAACCCTGGTCCCGAGAGACAGGGCCTCGAAGCGGCGGGTTTGAGATACAGCAACCAATCAGAGAGCGCCATGTGGGTGGCCCTGCAAAAACGCGCGGGAAAAAACAAAAAAGGTAACCGTCAATTTTTCACAAAGATCTGCTTCTTCAAGATGGATCTCCCTCTCTCCTGGTACAATGGGGCATGGACACAATAGCAACCACTGGCGATACATGCCAACGACGATCAGTCCCGCTCTTACCCTCACGTTCTTGCCGGCCTCACGAAGGATCGGGATGACTTTCGCAGAAGCCGAGTCATGTGCGCGAGACGCATTCGGCACATCTGTTGATGTAGAACCAGCTTCACTACAGCATGTATTATACTGCCTGTACTGCTGTAGAGTTTTCTGAAACATTGTCCGTGAGAAACTGCAAGACAGCGACGGTGGAAGGGGCGGGGGAGACTGAGAGAATCAGCAAGCGTTTATGGGGGTCCACCCATTTCTACCTTGCACAACTGCAGCAGCAGAAACAGCGGCATGTCCTACGATTGCCATCGGTGGCATGTGTATAACTACAGCAGATCTACGCGTGGCTGGATCCTCTACTAGACTACTGCTGTAGAAGTGTGAAGTTCGCCCAACCAATACACTACATAGCAGTTGAGACGTGAAGAGTCTCCTGTCATTAACAACCTCGCTACTGCAGTACCCCCTCCAACAAAAGCAAGAGGTCATTGTTACCAACACGAGCCTACTGCTGTTCAAAGTTTGTTGTGCGAAAAAGCCGCGGCCTCCCTCAGGACCTCTGGCCAGCAATCGACGGCTGCTGCACACCAAAGAATGCCCAAAGGCAAGAAAGAGTATATCTCATCTCTGACAGACTGAGTTGGTTTCGCCCTCTTGATAGCCCAGCGACTACCCCGGGCGAATAAGATCTCATCATGTCGGTATGCTTGCGGCGGGACAGTAGTAAGTACGAGTGTGTGTGTCCTTTGTGTCCTACTCCGAGAAGGGAAGGGAACGTATCATCGACCAGCAGTCACCCCACTGCGGTACTGCTGTTACTGCTGCTGATCTGAGAACGGTACGTAGTATCGGGAGACTTGCACAGGGCACAATGTACGCTTGTATGTTTTGCGGGAAGGCTTTCTGCCAATAGTACATGGTGCACCCGAGTGCACGTGTGAGGCACAATATGTGGAACTCGTGACCGACAATGTAATGGAGGCAACATGGCTACTCACAACGGAATGGATGATATACAGCTCGAGCGACTTACATCATAGTTTGAAACGGCGAACAGATGGAAAATGAACTACTTCTACAATACAGGTGTTCAGACTTGTATCCATATCATGTGTACAACTGCTGCTGTGGAACACAGCAGCAGTACCGTGGACTACTGCTGTACCACGTAGTGACGGCTGGCTGTGTTCAGCTGTAGTTTTCCCCAGTTTTTCTGTTGTCGCTCTGTGGGTCGTGCCAGCTCCCAGTTCATGTGTAGAGGGATGAAAAGGCTCGCAAGTCATCGGCAGGCAGCGTGTCTCGCGCCCCGCGGAGGCGCAGTCATGGTGCAATGAGCTTCAAAGTGGTGGCGAGTTCGCCTCAGTCGCAAGCACAAAAAATATCCATCTATGGAGGAAAAGACAGGTCTCTCTCTCGATCGCCCCTACTGTAGTTCCGTCTCCCGCGTTAAACTACACGCTGCTGGTCGTTGCAAGTCCCCAAATATTGCTCTTGGAGGGAGAGCCAAGCACACAAGCCCCCACTGCTGTGCGCCGTGCCTCGCTCCCGGCTGAGGCGCGGCCATGAGTCAACGAGCGTGCCGAGGTGGCGGGGCAATTGCCTATCTTACACGGTGTAGAGAAGCAGTGGGTCGCTCGACTGCTGGGGAGCGAGACGACAACCGCGACAGCTTCCCCTCTTGGGTTGGATTGGATCAGCAGATGATGACGCACAAAGCCAGCAGGGCGCTTGTGTTTGCGTCTTGCAGGGCCTTTCACGGGCCCGGTGGCACCGCGGCTTCTCAGGGGCAGAAAATCGAAAATCATGCTCGTCTTGACAAACGCCTCTCTGAATAAATCGAAAAACAGGGGGTGGATATTGTTTAGATTTGGTGTGGAAGTCAATTTTTTTCTTTTTTTTTGTGGAGCAGCCGAACTCATGAGAAACGAGCGAATGGAAGCGCTGTTGAGGTTGCGTCGGTGTTGGACCGACCGTGTTCGGCATGGAGTTTGGTTCAGTTGGTGTTGGGGCAGAAGCTTCGAGCAGCTTCGTTCTTCGTTGCTCGACCGGTTGTGACCGTTGCCCGAGCGAAAAGAACACAAGCAGGCGACCGGGTGGTACGCACGCATCATACAAAGTGCCTGGCTGGGTGTCGTCCCGGTTGGGTGTGGGGTGTTTTTTTCCTACTTGGTTGACTTGGCGGGAAACACATATCTCGACTATGTGTTGCAGATGGTAAGCCAGTGTACGGGTGTTGCTTTTCGGTGTCTTTGTGTCTGTTCTGCATGCACTGACTGTCTTCGTGTAGACGTTGCACTGCTGTACACCGATCGATGTGGCTTCGACTACGGTCGGACTGCTGTAGGTTATTATTCTGACGTTCGCGATGAGAGATACGTCCCCCACGTGCAGACGTCTACTTCTTGAATACACCACAAGCCTGCCACGCTAAGAGCCGCTAGCTGGAAAGGCGAAATGGTATATACATAGGGCGTTGCGCGCGAACCTCACATCAACGGGGTTATGGACGTACGGACGTACAAGGACCAATCGATCAAAAAGTGACAGCTCTGACCTGCATCGAGTAACAACCAATTTTTGGCGTCGCCCGCTCGCTCGAAACATCCGACTCATGGTAAATGGTTCTTTTGATTAACCCTCCAGGCTCGCAAGGAGAGTTCTTGATGTCGTGCCTCGGGCCCTGTGGTCGTTTGAATGTATGCACGGCAATGGGTCCACTCGCGCGCGGTGGCAACATGTGCGATGGAGTTCTACGACGCGACGGCAGTGCACTCAAGAAGAACGACGATTTGTGATTGGTCAATAATGACAGTTTCGGGCTGTTTACTGCTGGTGTGCCATCTAACGGTAGAACGCCGTAGCCGTTCGTAGACAAACTTTGAAGCCGACTCGGGTTTCGGTGGATACATCGAAACCAGTCCGTCGACCGGCCAAGTGCAGAGGGAAGATGGAGCGGCAAACAACACACATAGCAAACACTACATACGCTGCTGTACCTGAAATAAATGTACAACAATCGAGTTTGTCACTTGCAAAGTTGGCTTGCTCTAAAAGAAGGGGCTGAAGGATCGGGTTCGCGAACAACCACCGCTGCATGCCAACGACCAAGGGACGTGGCATATGAATTTTGTCGTTATCGTTGTTTTCGTCGCTCATGTTCTGGCCAGCCAGTCTACACCGTTGTTGGTGGTGTATGACACCACGGGTGGAGGTCGACCCCCCTTCCCCAAAATGTCGGATGCCCGCACCCCCTTGTGGAGACCTTGTCGAGGTCAGACGCCTTGGGGAACACAATCACGAGAATACCCCGATTTCTCCCCTTTCGAGGCCTTGGTTGTGTTCC